GAGCCAAAATTGAATGGTTTTAATAAATCACTTTCCCCCTTTCTATTATACTTTATACTATTATCATAATTTTCTTCTCAGGAATCCTAAGAGTTTATATAAATATTATTTGTAACTTTACGTGGGTAGATTGGAGCTCTGTTTTTAAATTCTGATTTTTTTCTGGGCTGTGAGGCCCAAGTCCTTTCATTTTTATGAGTTCCATAGCTACTGCTTAGCTCCGGGTCCCACCTCTCCTTGCCATGTAGTTGCCTCCTCACTGTTTATCCTTCAGGAAGTCTTCTTCTCCCACCTTCTCACACCACTTTCATGCTTCACTTTTGCTCAGAGACCCTTAGAGACTTCTAGGACTCAGAAAATGAAATATAACCCCCTCTCTCTGGTAAACTGTACCTCATACTTTGCCCTCGTGCCACCTGTTCTTTCTGATTTCCTGCTGCTCTATTCAGACTGTCTTGCTTTCCTCTAGGCCTTTTCAGCCTCCCTGCCTTTCCTCTGCTAACCCCTTACAGCCACTCCCTTATTCACCTGTACCAAATTTAAATCTGTTTGCGGCCTGATTCAAGTTCCATATCTTTCATGAAGTCTCTGTACAGGTCCTCAATTTTGACTAGCCTTCCCCTGTGTATGTAAACAGCAGAGTACTCAGAACAGTGCGAGCTCTTGTAACCATTTAATGAATGCTATTGTTATTGGTAGTATTATCGTTTTTTTTTTTTTTTTTTTTTTTGAGATGGAGTCTCACTCTGTGCCCTGGGTAGAGTGCTGTGATGTTACAGCTCACGGCAACCTCAAACTCTTGGGCTCAAGCGATCCTCTTGCCTCAGCCTTCCTAGTAGCTAGGAATACAGGCACCCACCAAGACAACCAGATATTTTTTCTACTTTTAGGGTCTCACTCTTGCTCAGGCTGGTCTTGAACTCCTGAGCTCAAGCTATCTACCTGCCTTGGCCTCCCAGACTACAAGGATTACTGCCTGAGCCAGTGTGCCTTGGCCTGTACCTATTAAATGATATTCAAAGATTTATTGAACAGCTGTAACTCATCTGTCATTGAGCTAATCTTGTGGAGTTTATAGTGTTAGAGAATGAGGAAACAGGCCCAGTGAGAAGTATATTAAGAAGTAGGAAGTAGATTTATCATGTTATTAAAAGACAAAATAGTAGCACATATGCTGTATTAATTTATTTAATCCTCATATGAGGTAGGTACTTAAATTTTTTCTTTCTACCAATGAGGGAATTAAGGAAAGGGAGGTTATGTTGTACCATGTCAGAAAGATGGCAGAGCTGGGACATGAACCCAGGCAGTTTGGCTTTAGACCTTGTCCTTAACCACTTCACTGTTCAGGGTCTCCTCAGATCATTATCAGTGCACTTGAGACAGAATAGGTCTTGATGTTGCCTCTTTGAAAACATGTTAACAGCTACAACGAAATAAAAAGACAGCTTTTAAAATAAAGCACACTGGTTATCTATTTTACTTGATTCCTTTGCGTTGTTTAAACTAAAACCTTATTCTAAACTTTTCTTACAGATGGTAGTTAGTATTGCTGAAGATCTTTTACGAACTGCCGCCCAAAACAGCAGGCTGTCTTTACAGCGCACCCAGGCCGGATGGCTGTTACTGGGAGCACTCATGACATTAGGTATAAGTATATTCGAGTCGGATTTGTCTTTTGCAGTCAGTAGACTCTAAAGCAAATTTAAGTGTATTAAACTTCACATTCTGGACTTGAATGAGGTTGTAAAATGGCAAAGATGTTTCCTCATCATTTGGTAGTAGATCCTCTTCTTGGTAACTTTTGCTTAAATTTAAAGAGGAAAGTGTTAGCAAATTTCACCTTTACCATCAGAATAGCCATTTCTACTGTGGCAGCTTACTGTTAATCAAAAGAAATAGAATGTTGGGGGCAAATTCCATCCCCTAAGTGAAGACCAGCAACGTAATCTTAGTAGAGTGGTAAAGTCACATTTACATTTAACGAGTGTTGCTGGTGCTGCTTTTGGGGGGTAACCATTACGTGCTTCACCTTCCTAAGTGCTAGATACAGACAAAGTTTAACATTGTACATAGGACAGAAGTACTTGTTACCATTGTGATGAGCTGTGTCTACTTTTTAGTTCACTTTTGGCTCCTGCTGTAAAAGTTTGTGGGTATATGTCCTACAGAGTTATTCATTGTTCTAAGCATTATCTATTGGAAATTATTCTTTGATCTAGTTTTCTTTTCTAAAGAAAATAAAGGATTAACTGTTTTCCAGAAGTTTATGTTAAGAATAAGCGGTATGTTAAATGAATTCCTTAGCAACGTAAATATATGTTCCTAGTTCTGAATATGCTGCTTTTCCATGAAACTAAATTAACCATATAAATTGTCCCCCCAAATGGAGGACTGTGTGTGTGTGTGTGTGTGTGTAGAGATATATATACACACACATATATTCCTCCATTTGGGGGGCAATTTATATCCATACATACATGGGGGGTGAGATGGTATATTTGTTTATGTATATATATATGTATTTAAGAAAAAGATCTCATAGAATATATCCCAGATAGATTTTGTCATTGAGAATATGTAATCCAACATTCTGAATATAATTAGGCAATTTTTTAAAAATTGCTTTTTGTGTATGTGCTTTATATTTGGATGCTACAATATCGATACTTTTAAAGTGAATATTATACTTTAATATATATCTTACTAGTTAAAGAATATTTTGAAAATGTTAGTTTTAGGAATAAAAATAGAGTAAAATGACGAAGATTGGTAAAACTTGAGAGGGGCTCATTCTCTTTTGTTTGTAATGTATGTTACTATATTTGGCTTTATATTCTCGTTTTCTTGGTTAGGACCATCTGTTGTCCGTTACCATCTGCCCAAGATGTTGTTATTGTGGCGAAATGTTTTCCCTCGTTCTTTAAAAGAATTAGAGGCTGAGAAGGCCCGAGGTGATTCTTTTACCTGGCAAGTGACTTTGGAAGGTCGTGCTGGAGCTTTATGTGGTAAGAACTGAAAGGATTGTGTTTTCAGAAGATGTGACTCAGGGGTGGTGCCTGTGGCTCAGTGAGTAGGGCGCCAGCCCCATATACCGAGGGTGGCAGGTTCAAACCTGGCCCCAGCCAAAGTGCAATAAAAAATAGCTGGGTGTTGTGGCAGGAAGCAAGAGAATTGCTTAAGCCCAGGAGCTGGAGGTTGCAGTGAGCTATGATGTCATGGCACTCTACTGAGGGATACAAAGTGAGACTCTGTCTCTAAGAAAAAAAAAAAAGAATACATGACTCAGCATGGTCAGAGTTCATAAGACAAGAGCTAGAACTCAGGCTTCTTAATCTCACTTGTTGCCATCTTTCTTTGTCAAAGAAGCCCTGAGTTACCACATGGAAAAAAAAAATCAAGAGATAGGCAGCGCCTGTAGCTTAGTGAGTAGGGCACTGGCCCCATATACCGAGGGTGGTGAGTTCAAACCCAGCCCCTGTCAAACTGCAACAAAAAGTAGCCGGGTGTTGTGGTCCCAGCCACTAGGGAGGCTGAGGCAAGGGAATCGCCTAAGCCCAGGAGTTGGAGGTTGCTGTGAGCTGTGATGCTGTTGCACTCTACTGAGGGTGATAAAGTGAGACTCTGTCTCTTTAAAAAAAAAAAAAAAATCAAGAGATGTAATAAAGGAAAACAAAACTCAGAATTACCAAGGTTATTGAGTTTATAGTTTGTTTTTTCATAATGGAAAAACAGTTGTTTTTTAACATCATTATCAAATCGGCAAACCTTACTACATTTTTCAAACATCAACATTACAAAAATTGTGGATACAGTTGCTTTTGTCTGGGAATTAGCAGCTTGCAAGAAAGGTTCAAGTTTTGTTTAATTTAGAAACCAGAACTGTATTGGATATTGTTGTTCTTTTTTGGTTTATCTCACGGTGAATAATATTTTTCACACCAGGAGACTGATAGACGCTTAATCGGGTGGGCGGCTGGGCAAAGGCTCAGTTTTGCTCCTACATATCTAAAAGATAAGTCTTCAGTCTCGGCTCTGTTGCTGAAGGGCCAGTAAAGATACTTCTCGCTGCATCATTTTTTTCACTCCTTGTTCTGTCTTAAAGCTGCTTGCGTTGTAGGCATCTGAGTTTCCTGTAGGGTTATAGTTCTCCAGATTCCCACTTACAGAAATCTCTCTCCCAGGTATCTTCCCTCCCTCCATTTCTGCTGTCTCCCTTCTGGGTTTCTCTAATGATATTTCTTAGGGTTTCATTTTGGTTTGACATGGTTTCAGAACCTTCTACTTTTATAATAATTAAGAATTATAGGTGCCTTTATATTTGTACAATTTAATCGATTTATTTATGCTCATGAAAGTTGCTTTAAATCTGTGCTTTAAAAATTTTATGTAGCCATGAGGAGTTTTGTTGCGCATTGTCCCGAGCTGCTAACTGAAGATGTGATTAGAAAGTTGATGACTCCCATTGAATGTGCCATGACTATGATGTCACAGTAAGTAAGCAGTTATGACAAGTTCACATCCTATCTTATTTATCAACAGACACAGTTATTTATTTATATAACTCACAGTCATATTTTATACTTCCTTTTAGAATCATCCAGGAAACATAAAACTTTAATTTTGAAAATGACTTTACAAATCGCAGCTATTGTGTGGACTGAAATACAATTATATCTTAAAGTATTTCTGTTAGTAACAGTAAAGATAAACTAAAGTGAAAATCTAATATTTACTGGTCTACTTTGACAGTACATTGATACATTGCTAAAAAAAATTTATAAGTAGTACTTGTTATCATAAGCTGATATCAACCATCTTTTGATATTTCAGCATTCCATCTGTAATTAAAGCTCATGGAGCTCATCTGAAAGCTAGTGCTGCAATGGTCCGTTTAAGACTGTATGATATCTTGGCTTTGTTACCTCCAAAAACTTATGAAGGTAAATAAAATTTGCAATACCTGATACAAATTCTTTACAGTTATGTGCTGTCTTACAAAGTTCTGACCAAAGCTATCCCACTGACTCACCTCGAAAAGGAAGGTTTTCCCTTTTAGTTTTTTTCTCGTAGAGTAGCTGACGCTTGTTGAGTACTTACTGTGTTCCTGTTCTAAGTCTTTTCTGTGTACGAGCCTCTCTGACTCTACTGTAACTTACAAGACAATTAGCCCTGTTTAAAAGACGAGGAATCGAGAGAGAGAGAGAGAGAGAGAGAGAGAGAGGGAGAACGAGAGAGAGAGAAGTAAAGTAACTTGTCCAAGCATTAGAAGTAGTAAGTGGCAGAGCTTGGATTCAAATCTAGCCAGTTTAATAGAAATTAAATATTATATAAAATATTAAAAGAAAACCAAACTGTTGATTTTTTTTTTGTAATACAGTCATGCCCAAGAATTTTGGTATGCTCTGATTCAGTGTCTACACATTATTGGGCAATGAGTAGTAAATACAATAACCATGTCACATTTAATGTGGTTAAAATAAAGACTGTTTCTTCTCTTTGAGTTTTTTGGTTATTTTAAATAATTTGGGCTAAAAGGCACATGATAAAAAAGAAAGTACTGTTATTGTATATGCAAACCAGCATTAAAATATTTAATATAAATTTGTTTTAAAAAGGGAACAGGGTCTTAATTATATTGCTCTTTTAGAACATGTTGCTGCTCTTTATGGCGATTATGATTTTCATAAAAATTACTCTTTTTAATCTGATCTGAAGTTCTGTTTTTTAGGATCTTTCAATGCACTTCTTAGAGAGCTGGTAGCAGAATTCACCTTGACTGACAACTCAGCCAACACAACTACTTCCCTCCTCAGATCCCTCTGCCATTATGATGATAGTGTTCTTCTTGGTTCCTGGCTTCAAGAAACTGATCATAAATCAATCGAGGACCAGGTAGCAAACCATACAGGAAAATGCAATGGTCTTATTACATACACATTGTCGTTGACAAGAACATATCGTAGACATAAATAAGTAAAGGTTTAATTTTCACACAGCTTTCTTAGATACCTAAAGATAGCAACCTAGTGGTGGATAAATAGTGAAAAAAGGTAAACCGCAATAGTTAGGATTTGGCAAATTATCTTTATTTGGTATTCTTTGCATTTAGATATCCTGTGGGAGCTGTGGTGAAGATCAGTTTTAACTTGCTTTTTAGTTATTGGTGTTTTGTTTTGTGACATACTGGAGAGGAATGACGGTTGGTAGATTGAAGAATTAGAACCTCTTTTACCAAGTATGTTATTTCTTAGGACCTTTTTAAAATAAGTGACTAAAGCTCCCTTTTAAATAACTTTCTATGGGTTTAAGTTATTGCTAACATTTTGTTCACACATTAGTGTAAAAATATTTTAGAATGAACAAGACTTTATTTTTTTTTTTTTAATTTTTTTTAGGCAGAGTTTTACTTTGTTGTCTGGGCTAGAGTGCAGTGGCATCATCACAACCCACTGTAACCTCAAACTCTTGGGCTCAAGCAGGTCTCTTGCCTGAGATTCCCAAGTAGCTGGGACTACAGGTGTACTCCACCACACCCAGCAAGTTTTTCTATTTTCTGTCAAGACAAGGTCTTTTGCTTAAGCTGGTCTCTAACTCCTGCCTCCTAGCCCTCTTCAGCCTTCCATAGCACTAGGATTACAGGCATGAGCCATTGCACGTGGCTAAGACTTTTCTTAAAATTGTGTAAGATGTTACTGATAACACTTTTAATGCCCAAATTATGTTTTTATCTGTTTAAACTTTTTCAGATCCAATCATTCTTTTTTTGTTGCTTTTTTCCTTTCTCCCCATTCTATTCTTCATGCCCAATATTTAGTATATGAATTTCCTAAAGTAGATTTGAATATTTTTATTTCATCCTTTTGCAGCTCCAACCAAATAGTGCATCTGGGAGCGGAGCTCTGGAACATGATCCTTCCTCCATTTATCTACGAATACCTGCTGGAGAAGCTGTGCCTGGTCCTCTCCCTCTTGGAGTCTCAGTCATTGATGCTTCCGTGGCTCTTTTTGGTGTAGTGTTTCCTCATGTTTCTTATAAACACCGGTTAGTATAAAGTGAATCAGGTAATTTTAGTAAGAAATAAGTATAAATTATACTCAAACAGTGGATTTTCTCATCCTAGTTAACTCTGCAGTAAAATAAGTTATTACTGAAATAATACTCTCATAAATTTATCATTTTAAGTGAGTCACACATGGTAAACAGATTATATGCAAATTCCACATAATTTGAGACTGTATTTAAGGTTTGACCCTGAGTACTATTGCGGACTGTGTATAGCAAAACAGAAGTTTTAATACGTTAGTTTGACAATTCATACGTTAAGTTTTGACTATATCTTAATTGAGGACATCAGTTTGCAACCTATTTTGAGGACAAGTCTGTTGTTTTGTTATTGAAGAAGTAAATGGATAAGAAGTTCATTCCCCAATAACATTTGTCTGTGAAATGATTCAAGTCTGAACTTGAGAAACTAAGGTAAGTGGTTCTTTTGTAATAGAAGCATTTTGGTTTAATATATTTCATATCCACAGACTTAACATAGGCATTTTATATATTTATACAAATATTTGCATATTTATAGTGATTTTCCCAAAAGGAAAAGCAGAAATGAATTAATGCAAGACTCTCCCAGATAACTTAAAAGTTTTACAAAATGTGGCTTAAAAATATTATTTTATTTATAAAATACAATAAAGATATATTAAAGGATAATATATGTTCAAATATGTAGGTTGCTTGCTTAATTTCTTTTTAATTTGAGGAGAAAAGAATTTAAATGTGGAAGCTACTTTACCTAGATATCTTTAAGAACCTATGGTTGCCACATAAATGTGAAGTAACATTAAAGGTAAAAGAATATTATAAAGCATCTATTTTAATCTTGTTGTTTTAAATGTAAGGAAATACAGATCTAAGAGTTTGTGATTTGCGTAAAGTTATACAACTAGTTTTGAGAGCTATAACTGAAATCTAGGATTATCTAAACTTTTTACGTTAAAAAATGTAATAGGACCCAGTACAGTGGCTCATGCCTATAATCCTGACTCTCTGGGAGGCTGAGCTGGGAGGATTGCCTGAGGCAAGGAGTTAGAGACCAGCCTGAGCGAGAGGGAGACCTTGTCCCTACAAAAAATAGAAAAATTACCACATGTGGTGGTGCCTACCTATACTCCCAGCTACTCAGGAGGCTGAAGCAGGAGGATCTCTTGAGCCCAGGAATTTGAGGTTGCAGTGCACTATGATAAAACTATTGCACTCTACTCTGGGAAACAGAGTGAGAACCTGTCTGAGAAAAATATATATATATTATGTATATATTTGATATATAAAAATAATATAAAGATTCAACAATGAAAGAAGAGTGAAAGTGGGAAGGTCCATAGGCTGGAATACTTTTTTTACAGAGACAATATTTTAATATCAAAGAATGCTCATGATACCATGTTAAATTAAAAAAGTAAAATAAAAGGTAAGTGATCCCAGATTCATTTTTAAAATACAAAATACATTATGTTTTTAAAATACATCAAAACATACATATAAGCGCATATTAATATGACATGTAAGATAACGATCTAAAAGGTAATGTACCAGAGGGGAAAAGTGGTTAATTTCTATATAGTAACTTTTTGTTAGTATTTTAAAAATTAGGCTCGGTGCCTGTGGCTCAAGTGGCTAAGGTGCAAGCCACATACACCTAAGGTGGTAGGTTCGAATCCAGCCCAGGTCCACCAAACAACAATGACAGCTGCAACCAAAAAATAGCCAGACATTGTAGCGGGCGCCTGTGGTCCTAGCTACTTGGGAGGCTGAGGCAGGAGACTCTCTTGAGCCCAGGAGCTGGAGGTTGCTGTGAGCTGTGAGGCCCCGGCACTCTACCCAGGGGGATAGCTTGAGGCTCTGTCTCCAAAAAAAAAATTAAAATAAATAAATATTTCATAACAAGAAAAGAAGTTTTGTTTTTAAACAAGCTTCTTAAAACAATTTTTGTATTTCAAGTCAGGTGATAGGAGTGTGGAGGCTGTGTAGGTACCCTGTGTGTGCTCATTTCAGGAGTGTGGAGACTGTGTAGGTACCCTGTGTGTGCTCATTTCAGGAGCGTGGAGACTGT